GGGTGGGAATGCCGCAGCTCAGAACATCACTGAGCTGCCTTTAGGCTGGTCGTGATGTTCTCCTCTGCAGAGTAAAATAAAACCTTTTCTTCCTATAATATCAACTCTCAGCGCTCATATTTTTTTTTAACTCCACAAGGGTTAAATGCTGTAGGACATAGGGACCCCTTTTTCATCATTCTGCTTCATTCTATCTCTATTCTCCCACTCTGCAGAATCTGTTAGTTCAATCTCTAACGTTCTGCTTTTTCTCATAGTAGCTTCATCTGGTCTGTTCCTGTTTGGCTGTAACTCCATCCTAGAGAGAAATATCAGCTGTGCTGCTGCCATCAACACCTTTGTTTATAGATGTTGGAGATCAGCCCGTTTTTCAGTGTAGTCCTGTTTCTCTGACTGACTGACTGGATGTGCTCTCTTCATTCCCTGATATGGGAGCTGGCTCCTCGGAGCTCATCTGCCTGGCTGTGTGCTTCCTGGTCAGCTGCTTTTTGTAACTCTGCTTCTGTCTCCTTGAACCCCAGTGGGCCTCAGCAGATGGCCGCTCACACTGAGCCTGGTTCTGCTGGAGGTTTCTTCCTGTTAAAAGGGAGTTTTTCCTCGCTATAGAAATAAACTGAATTAAATTCACGCATTTTTTCCTTTGATTGAAAACATTTTTTTTTTAAGGAAACTGTTTTTCTTTGAATACTAAATAAACAAATCTAACTCTATACTCCAAAGGCTTGAACTCTTGACTTCACAAACCAAACGATCAGCTAATCTTTTTTGTCCTCTATCCTTGAAATAATCTTCTCTGTAAAACTTTATCTTGGTTTGAAATTCACGTAAATAACTTTCTTGTAGAAAGTATTTCTTACTTTCTTAGATCCCATGTCAATATATTTTTGCACCATGCAGACATTTCAAAACTAAAAGGCGTTGCTCAGCCAGTTGAGCTATTTGATTATTTCCCTTTCTTGCCATGTGACGTTTTTTTCTCACCTCTCTGTCTTTCGTAGCTTTCCTTCTTTTTTGGAGCTGGCAGTGACTCTGAACTGTAGATCGGTTTCAGACTCACAGCAGCAACATGGATGAAGCTGAGGTGATGTATGCTGATGTGAAGTTCACAACAAAAAAGGCCAGAGGTGAGCAGAACCTGTTGAGCGCATATTGCCTAAGTAACCTTTATTAAGCTGAAAATTAAAAGTGTATTGTTATCTGTTATAAGTGAAATTAAATTTATGTTTCTGTTCTACAGATCCTGTTTCTTCGTCAGACGATACAACTTATTCTGAAATACAGAGTTGCCAAAGAAGAGAGGCAGGTCTGTTAAAAATGATTCTATGTAAATGAAATATAAGCTTGAGTTTATCTGATGTGCAATTAATAGAAACTTTATGCATTTCTAAAAAAAGATAAAAGAATTATGATAGAGGAAAATTGACTAAACCAAAAAATAATGTTTTAAGAAAAGAAACAAGACAGACATCTCAAAATAAGCAGTAGTTAGGAAATGACATAGCAGAAGTCTTTGGTGAATAAATTTCACCATCTTAAACTGCTGAAGTGTTCACCAACCAGTTTCCTGTTTTGCTCTCTGAATTAATCATTGCCGGTGTTATTTATTATGTTGTTGTTTTTTTAAAATCAAACAATATTGTGTGTTTTAATATGTTTTTAGAAATGTTGACACTCAGAGAGGATAGTCTCGGAGCCAAAAAGAGGAATATTTTTTATCACTGACTTGCTGCAGGTTTCCTGCTCAACCTGATACGTGTTGGTAAAGGTGCTGGAAGCCAAACGCCACAACCTTCTTTAAGGAGCAGAGACTAAAATGCTTTGAACGACTCAAACGTTCCCAAACTCCGCCTCCTGAGAGGCAGATGCAATGTTATAGTTTCATTTGATTCCATCCTGAACAAAAGCATTTTGAAATGTCTGCATGGTTCAGCTCAGCCAAACTCTTTTTCTGCTCTTGACTTGCATCAATAAAATTGGTGTCATTATCAAATCTGATGATAGAAACTTGACCTCTTCTACAGATGAACCTCCGGACTGCATTTACACAGGAATCTGTATTGAGAGTGTATGTGACCTCCAGATATGAAACATGTATAAAGAACTCCATACCTTTTAAGGAGACTTCTACTAACTCCTAAAGGATCAAATTAATCCACTCCACCCTTTGTGAATGGAGCCATGTCTGACAGTACGCTTTCTTTTGCTAGATCTGCTATTTTTTCCCCAACAAACTTTCCTCTGTTGCGTCTGCAAATAATACAGCAAGAGAACTGAATTTCCATTTATTATCCTGTAGTTTTCTTTTTTCTTATTTTTTAACAGCATGTGAGCTCTTCCTGCATGTCTCAACTGTTGAATAATATGATATAAAATTAATGTAGACATGCTCCTCTTTCTGACTCTGTGGTATGCAAATACAATAGGGTTTTCAAAAGTATCGACACTGAAACGTTGTCTCCGGATACAATACTCGTTTTTAAAAGTATCGATACAGTGCCACCACCAGTGGCACCTAACCAGTCATTCATCTAAAGTGCAGAATAGAGCAAAATGCACTTTCTGAACACTGTGTGATTGAATAATTCTACGCACTTTTCAGTTTCAGACTTTTTTTTTTTTGTAACAGGTGCAGCTGCTGAGAATTATTTTTGTTTCTTAACTGGTTTAGCTAGTGTCATTGTTATGTGTGCAAAGCATAGCTAAGGAAGGAATACTTAATTTTAATTTTATAAGTTTTTTATCAAGCTTGCTTAATATTGTGCACAGCATACAACCTTTATTGTATTTATTTATTGTATTTTGTTTATTAATGAAAATATTTCTGTAGAATTTTGGAGTCTTTGTTTTTATCCTTGTGGTATCGAAAATGGTATCGAGTATCGAATATTTTCCTTAATATCGGTATCGAGTTGAAAAGTTTAGTATCGTGACAACCCTAAAATACAAGACTGATCTCTTCCTACTTTTTTGAAACAGTGTCTTACTTCCTAATAACTGAAATTTTCACAAAAATTTCCAGATTGCTGAAAGTAGTTGGGGATGAATCTGAGGGAGGTTTAAAGCATAGCACTGAAAATGAAGTCTATGTGGAAACTGGCCATCATAATACAGTATCTCTATAATACTTGATAATAATTAGGTTTTCATGAATATTGTAGATTTTTTAAAACTTGAAACCTTTGCAAGAAACACTTGCATAGATGTGTGATAGCTAAATAATAAAGTAGTAATCAATAAAATTTAAAGAAGGGGTTTGTGCATCATCTCCATAGTATATATGACTGTTACTCAGATTTTACACTGGAAAAACGATCTTGAAATAAGAAAAGAAATTCTTAAATTAGGTGTATTTACCCTGAATTTGAGTAGGTAAATGAGATAGTTTGCTAATGGAACGAGTTCACTCTTTTTTTTTTTTTTTTTTTTTTTTTTTTTTTTTACAGTGTCCTTTCTGGCAAGGTGGCAATAAGAATAACTGTCTTGATGCCAAAAGGAGCCCAACAGATTTTACTTTCACAAGTGTAGCGGTCTGGCAATTGCCATACTGCTCCACTTGTTTCACACGTATAAATTGCTTTATTATAATTATGCAGGGAGTTTTACAGTTTATATGGACACTGCAATGTAAGTAGAGCAGAAAAACAGAAGAAGAAAAAAGAAAAAAAAAGGACAAAAGATGAAAGAAAGAGGAGATAGAAAGGAGACAATGACAAAACATTTTCAGTCTGCTTCATCACCTGTAACGAGATGAAAAAAGAACAGCACAACCGAAAGACATGATACGAGACATACAATAAAGCAACACCTTGAAACTATCGCTGAAGTAGTATTATTAAGTCTGACATGTACTCTGTGTTACCTGAAGATATGAATGTGGGGTTTCTGTTTGGAAGTGAATCTCTAAGTACCTGAAGCCTAGCACCTGTAGTTGTTTGTGAGGGAACAAGTTCACTCTTAAAATAAGATATTTAGATAAAATGCACGTGAAATAAGACAATCCAATTGTGTTTTCTTATTTTAAATGTAAATTGTCTTGTTTTATTGGCAAAGTGTCTCTATTAACTCCTCAATCCAAGAACAAATGCACTTATTTTAAGAAAAAATTACTTATCTAGATATCGATTTTTCCATTGTAAATAAAGAACCTCCAAGCAAGAGCACTTCAGGTGCTTTGGTTTGTCTCAGTCCAATGACCTCCTGCTCCTGAAGGTCAACCCCCACTAACAAACACTTCCAAGATGGAAAAAAGAGGGAAGGATCTTTACAAAAGGAGGGAAAATTGTGCCAATTGAAGGAAGCAAGCAAAATAACAGCTGCAGTTTGAACCTCAAACCAGCAATCTGGACATCTAACAGGCTAAGGTTCTGACAAGGCTGCCCTCTGGGAGGGTAGATGTGCTAAACAACTCACACCTACGATAAAATAATTAGTTTTTTTATGTTGGACAATAAAAAAAACAAAGTATTTAAATATAGTGTAAAACTAAATGTGTATTTTACCCAAATCTCTCTTTTCTTTTTCAGTTTGTGCCAAATGTTCAGCAGATGCTCCACAGAACAAATCAAACAGGTCAAAGATCCTCCTGCTGAGTATCATTGCTTTACTGACAGCTGCTGCCATCGCACTTGGACTGAGTGAGTGAAAAAAAAAATCTATTTTAGTTTTGAATGTTTAATTTTAGGAAAAAAAACATTTGAATTTAACCATACATTTTTTTCTCCACTTTTGTATAACCCTGGATTAAATAGAACCCAAACTAACGGTTTATTTCTTCTTCTTTTTTGTTACCAGCTGTTGTTATTTTGATCATCAACCCCCCCTGCTATTCTGGAAAAGAAAAGAATGAAATTACACCAGGCATGATTAACAGCAGTCAGATCAACTTTATTTTGGATTAAATCTGAATCCTTATTATTTTTGCTCCGTCACATTTGGATTATAATCTGTGCATTTGTAATTCAGCTTCAAGTTATGCATTTTTTATCTTTGGAACAGGAAAAAATCAAAGCAGCACATGTCCTCCACCTCCTACATTTCCTCCACCTAAAGTAAAAAGTAAGTCCATTATTGTTGTCTCATTTCTCTTTAATGATGTTATAGAGACACTGATGGTCTGACAGATACAGGAAGTTAGATTGTAGCTGCAGGACAGAAGACGCCTCCTGCTGCCTCTAAATCTCACAAACATCTACAGAGATTTCTCCCTCCTGACTCAGTGAGATTGTTGTTCTGATCTGTTTAAAGATGAAACGTGTCTGAAGTGTGAAGCAGGCTGGGAGCTACATGGAGTGAACTGTTATTATTTCTCCAACAATAAGTCCACCTGGAATGAGAACAGAGATTCCTGCAGAGGTCAGGGAGGAGACCTGGTGAAGATCGACAGCAGAGAGGAGCAGGTATGAATCACTGCTGCAGCTTCATGTTCTCACAGATTTTATCATCATCATGGTTCTTCGTTTTTGCACAGAAAGTCTCACAAGTATCTCTATCATCTCCTACTCAGATGTTCCTGGAGGGGAAAGTGAAAGAGAAAATGACAAATAAGGACGATTCGTTCTGGATTGGACTGACGGACTCAGATAATGAAGGCAGCTGGGTTTGGGTGGACGGATCTCCACTGAAGGAAAGGTCTGATTGCTCTCAGAACATTTGGTTCATTTGAAGAGTTTAAGTCACTCAGGTTTACTGAACTCTGTCTTTCTCTTCTTCATCTCTTAGTTTGAGTTTTTGGGGAAACAACGAGCCTGATGGTCAGGGTGGAGGAACAGACTCAGAGGTGGACTGTGTGAGAACATTGAATATAGGAAACTCTATCAAGTGGTTTGATAGATATTGTAATGATGATCTGAGAAGAATTTGTGAGAAAACAGCAGAAGCTAAGCTGTGTTTGTGTTTGTGAAGTTTAGAAAACATCCTCTGATCTCTGAACAGAAACACATTTTTTCAAAATGATTTTAAAACATTTTAGGTTCTTGAACAAAAAAAAAAAAAGAAAAATACAATAATTTGTTCCAACAGCAGATCTTCTGTGAAAAATGTAAAAATCAATAAAAAAATTTTCAACCTGATTTTCCTGTTTTCATTAATTAATACAGTAAATATTATAGTGGAAACGGAACAGTCATACAAACTAATTTAATTCACAAGATTGTGTTTTTCTATCATCAGTAATTATTTCACAAAAGTGAAACATTTTTTTGTTAGATGCGCTGCCATGTTACAGTACCTCAAATAGTGACATCACGAGGTTAATTAACTCCAACTCTAAGAATTGACTACATTGCATATAACAGCGATACATTACAACCATAAAACACTAAAAATATTTGGTATTATGGAAAAAGGAAGCTGAAATGACACCAAAGCGTCTAAATCAGATTGTTTATGCTTTTGAGCCCATTCACCCTGTAACTCGAATCATAGGAAGCAGAGAAGAGGCACTTTTGGAGCCGAGGTTCCATCTCTCCCTGCTACCCCACAGAACATCCCTGTGGAGATTATGAATTAGGGTGTGTTGGCATTTCAAAAAGAAAAAGTTAAAAGGATCCAAAACAAAACAAAAAAGTTGGTAAAACAAAATGTTCTCCTAAACATAAGTAGTCCATAGCATGAAGCATTGAAGTCCCGGAATGCAAAGTTAATCATAAAAAAAGAACTCAGAGTGCATACCATCAGAGGCATGGATGCTAGATAAAGTCTAGACTCAGTAACTAACAAACAAAAACTAGAGCTTCAATACACTGACTAATTGCACAATTGATAACAGGTGGCAGAGGAGGGAAAAACACTCCCAACCAAAAAAAGCAAGATATACAGTCCAACAGAGGCCCCTAGTGGTCAGAATAATCATAGCACCTAACATATGTTGGCAGGTACTAAATCCACTATGCCCCTATGCTAAATGTGGAAAGGACAATATTATTGCCATTACCATGCTGGGACTGGTGGGCCGGTCCTAATTTCAGCGTATGAGGGACGGCCCTCCTTAAATCATACCGACCCCAACATTTCCTCTCTGGCCGAAGCTCCTATCTGTGACAGTAAATAACTCAAGGAGTCATCTTTTAAACAGGAAGTTCTTTTTTATCTGAAGGTGTGAAAAAAGAAGGCGTTGCACACATTTTCAGTCTAAGAGGTCTGCAGAGGGAAGACGATGAGTTGAGGGTGAGTCCAGATAAATTTCTTTCAAATATACACTTAAAAAACAATGGAGATGTTAAAAAAATCTGGTCTTCAAAGTTAAACTGCTGTTTCTTTATTGCACTGATGCATTTTGAATCGCTTTGTTATTTTAATGTCTGCACATATATGAGGAACAGTATCATTTTGAAATCTGCTAAAAAGAAGAACTAATAGAAGTTTATTGGGATTCAAACAGGTTTATTTGACGATAGAGGCTGTACAGGTCTATTGTGTTAAAGAGAGAGCTGAGGGGAAAGGGTTATGACTGAAAGAACAACATCCAATCAGCTAAAATAAGCCTACTCTGCTGGGACAAGGCAGTCTCTCAGATAGTAAACATCCATTGTTTTAAATTGGTCTACTTAATATCACATAATCAAAAAATTAAATTACATGTTCCGTTTTAAGATAAGGTAAAAATCAAGTACAATTAAAAACTCAAAAAAATGCTGTCTTTGTTTTTCAGAGAGTTGTTCTGTTCTAAGTGTCCACATGATGAGACCTGTGAAGGAGGTAAGGAGATGAATGTGGAGGTAAATAGGGAGAAGATGCAGAGAGCAAAATGGTCATAGGCACATAAAAAACAACAAGGCTGAAAAAAACTGCTTTCTTTAGGCAACATTTAACATCTGAACTGGAAGAAAACAGCTTTACTTGTAAATCTCCACTTTAAAAAAAAATGCACATGCAAAACCCCTGTATGCCTATTAAACAAGTGTGAGAGCTTGCACGAGCCCAAGCTCAGAAATGTGACATTAGAGACGCCAGGGACCATAGTCAAATGTTTGCCGGGGGCCAGAACGGGCAACATGAAATCTTACTTGAAACTGCTGGCTAAGATAAAATTAAATACAGTAAGATTGTTATTCACGCTGGCGGTAATGACACCCGGTTACGCCGATCGGAGGTCACTAAAATTAGTGTTTGGTCCTCTCCCTGATCTGACCAGTGATGACACGTTTAGCTGCATGTCGTCATTCAACCGCTGGTTGTCAAGGTAGTGTCTTGAAAACAACGTGAGCTACATTAATAATTGGCAATCCTTTTGGGAAAAGCCTGGTCTGATTCGGAGAGACGGCATCCATCCCGCTTTGGATGATGCAGCTCTTCTTTCTGGGAATCTGGCCACATTTATTAGTCCTCCAATATATGGTATTGAATATATGGTTTTAAAAACATGGAGAGTAAATATCACTTCACAGGCCTATCCTACCTAGTCTAGAAAAATAGTTTACTGCTGTATAAGTGGACCCTTTTAAAGCAAGAGCAGCATATTTCTCCTCATTAATAGAGGAGAATAAGAATAATCCTAGATTTCTTTTTAATACAGTTGCCAAAGTCACCCAGAGCAATGGCTTAGTTGAACCGTCCATTCCACCTGCTCTTAGCAGTAATAATTTTATGCCATTCTTTATAAATAAGATTGATCTTATTAAAAATAAGATCATTAGCACTCCCCTATACATGATTGGTTTGTCTCTGGAGGGTGGGGTAGCATCTGAGGTAGTCATGGAATCTGAATCGGGTTTAGACTGTTTTGATCCAGTCGACCTTTCAGAGTTAACAAAACTACTGTCTTCATCTAAGCCTTCAACTTGTATGTTAGATCCAGTTTCAACCAGATAATTTAAGGAGGTATTCCCTTTGATCTCCTCCTCCATTTTAGATGTGATTAATCTGTCTCTGTCACAGGGTTGTGTACCTAAGGCTTTTAAGGTTGCTGGAATTAAACCTTTGCTTAAGAAACCGTCTCTTGATCCAGATGACTTGGTCAATTATAGACCTATATCCAATCTTCCTTTCTTATCTAAAATTCTTGAGAAAGTAGTGGCCAAACAAGTGTGCGATCAAACAAGTGGACTATTGTAATTCTTTACTATCAGGAAGTCCACAAACTCTAGTTAAAAAACTTTAGCTGATCCAAAATGCTACAGTCAGAGTTCTGATGAAAATGAAAAAGAGAGATCATATCTCTCCTATCCTGGCTTCTCTTCATTGGCTTCCTGTTAAATCCAGAATAGAATTTAAAATCCTCCTTCTCACATATAAAGCCTTAAATGGCCAAGCTCCATCTGATATTAGAGATATGATTGTTCCTTATGTTCCTAACTAAGCACTTCGCTCTCAATCTGCAAGTTTACTAGTTACAGACACCCTGTCTACTTTTAAGACTAGGCTTAAAACTTTCCTTTTTGATAAAGCTTATAGTTAGAGTGGCTCAGGTTATCCTGAGCTATCTCTATAGTTATGCTGCTATAGACTTAGACGTCTGGAGGACATAGGGACCCCCATTTCATCATTCTGCTTCATTCTATCACTATTCTCCCACTGCAGAATCTGTTAGTTCAATCTCTAACGTTCTGCTCTTTGTGCTTTTTCTCATAGTAGCTTTTCCTCATCTGTTCCTGTTTGGCTGTGACTCCATCTTGGAGAGAAATATCAGCTGTGCTGCTGCCATAAACACCTTTGTTTCTAGATGTTGGAGATTGGCCTGTTTTCCAGTGTAGACCTGTTTCTCTGACCGGGACTGGCTGGATGTGCTCTCTTCGTCCCTTTACAGCTGCTTTTTGTATCTCTGCTTCTGTCTCCTTGAACCCCAGTGGGCCTCAGCAGATGGCCGTTCACACTGAGCCTGGTTCTGCTGGAGGTTTCTTCCTGTTAAAAGGGAGTTTTTCTCTCCACTGTCGCTACAAGCATGCTTAGAGTGAGGGATTGCATTTGAGTGAATGAGTCGATGCAATCAACTGGTTTTCCTTAGATAGAAAACTTTGAATCAATTTGACTGTATGATCTGGTGAACTGTAAAGTGCCTTGAGATGACTTGTGTTGTGAATTGGCGCTATAGAAAGAACTGAACTGAATTGAATTCACACATTTTTTTCTTTGATTGAAAACGTTTTTTTTTACTTTTGAAGCAAACTGCTTTTGATTGAATAATAAACAAATCTATACTCTATACTCCAAAGGTTTGACCTCTTGACTTCACAAACCAAACGATCAGCTAATCTTTTTTGTCCTCTATCCTTGAAATAATCTTCTCTGTAAAACCGTGGTTTGGTCTGAAAAACACATAAATAACTTTCTTGTAGAAAGTATTTCTGACGTTCTTAGATCCCATTTCAATATATTTTGCACCATGCAGACATTTCAACACCAATACTAAAAGGTGTTGCTCAGCCAGTTGAACTATTTTATTATTTCCCTTTCTGGCCATGTGACATTTTTTTCTCATCTCTCTGTCTTTTGTAGCTTTGCTTCTTTTTTATAGCTGTCAGTGACTGAACTTTAGATCTGTTTCAGACTCACAGCAGCAACATGGATGAAGCTGAGGTGATGTATACTGATGTGAAGTTCACAAGAAAAAAGGCCAGAGGTGAGCAGAACCTCTGGCCTCTGGCAGTTCTACAGATCCTGTTTCTTCATCTGACGATACAACTTATTCTGAAATACAGAGTTGCCAAAGAAGAGAGGCAGGTATGTTAAAAAGGATACTAAATGAAATATAAGCTCGAGTTTGTTATCTCATCTGCAATTGACAGATACTTTATGCTTTTATAAAAAAAAAAATAAGACAATAATGATAGAAGGAAACTGACTAAACCCCTCTGCGATAAATAAAATCACGTTTTAAGAAAAGCAACAAGACAGACATCTCAAAATGAGCAGCAGTTAGGAAATGACGTAGCAGAAGTGTTTGAATAAATTTCACCATCTTAAACTGCTGAAGTGTTCACCAACCAGTTTCCTGTTTTGCTCTCTGAATTAATCACTGCTGGAGTCCCTTATTATGTTGTTGTTTTTTCAAAACAAACAATATTGTGAGTTTTAATATGTTTTTAGAAATGTTGACACTCAGAGGTACATGTTGGTAAAGGTGCTGGAAGCCAAATGCCACGACCTTCATCACCCAAAACTTGTTCTTTAAGAGCAGAAAACTAAAATGTTTGGAACGACTGTAACTCCAAACTCCACCTCCTGAAATGCAGATGCGATGTTATACCGGTAGTTCCATTTGATTCCATCCTGAACAAAAGCATTTTGAAATGTTTGCATGGTTTAGCTCAGCCAAACTCTCTTTCTGCTCTTGACTTGCATCAATAAAATTGCTCCAGATATGAAACATGTATAAAGAACTCCATACCTTTTAAGGAAACTTCTTCTATCTTCAATAGGATCAAATTAATCCACCTCTAACCTTTGTGAATGGAGCCATGTCTGGCAGTACGCTTTCTTTTGGCAGATCTGCTATTTTTTTTTTCCAACAAACTTTCCTCTGTTGCGTCTGCAAAAATACAGCAATTCAATTCAATTCAGTTTATTTCTATAGCACCAAATTCACAACATGTCATCTCAAGGCACTTTACAGTTCAACCAGTCAAATTGATACAAAGTTTTCTATCTAAGGAAAACCAGTTGATTGCATCGACTCATTGACTCTTCAGCAATCCCTCACACTAAGCATGCTTGTAGCGACAGTGGAGAGGAAAAACTCCCTTTTAACAGGAAGAAACGTCCAGCAGAACCAGGCTCAGTGTGAGCGGCCATCTGCTGAGGCCCACTGGGGTTCAAGGAGACAGAAGCAGAGACACAAAAGGCAACTGTAAAAGGCGGCCCCGTCCAGGAAACACACAGCCAGGAAGACAAGCTCCGAGCCAGCTTCCATGCCAGAGGATGAAGAGAGCACATCCAGCCAGTCACGGTCAGAGAAACAGGACCACACTGGAAAACAGGCCAATCTCCAGCATCTATAAACAAAGGTGTTGATGGCAGCAGCACAGCTGATATTTCTCTCCAGGATGGAGTCACAGCCAAACAGGAACAGACCAGATGAAGCTACTATGAGAAAAAGCAGAGAGCAGAACGTTAGAGATTGAACTAACAGATTCTGCAGAGTGGGAGAATAGAGATAGAATGAAGCAGAATGATGAAAAGGGGTCCCTATGTCCTCCAGCAGTCTAAACCTATAGCAGCATAACTATAGAGATAGTTCAGGATAACCTGAGCCACTCTAACTATAGCTTTACCAAAAAGGAAAGTTTTAAGCCCAGCCTTAAAAGTAGACAAGAGAAGACTTTTCTAGCAGCTGCATTTCCTTTTATTATCCAGTAGTTTTCTTTTTCTTAACAGCATGTGAGCTCTTCCTGCATGTCCAAACTGTTGAAGAATATGATGTAAAATGAATGTAGACATGCATCACTTTCTGACTCTGTGGTATACAAATACAAGACCAATCTCTTCCTACTTTATTGAAACAGCGTCTTACTTCCTAATAACTGAAATTACCACAAAAATTTCCAGATTGCTGAAAGTAGTTGGGGCTGAGTCAGAGGGAGGTTTAAAACGTAGCCACTGATAATGAAGTCTATGTGGAAACTGGCCCTAAATCATCATAATACAGTATCTCTACAATACTTGATAATAATTAGATTTTCATGAATATTGTAGATTTGTTAAGGTTGAAACCTTGGCAAGAAACACTTGCAAAGATTAATCAATAAAATTTAAAGAAGGGGTTTGTGCATCATCTCCATAGTATATATGACTGTTACACAGATTTTAAATAAAGAACCTCCAAGCAAGAGCACTTCAGGTGCTTTGGTTTGTCTCAGTCCAATGACCTCCTGCTCCTGAAGGTCAACACGCACTAACAAACACTTCCAAGATGGAAAAAAGAGGGAAGGATCTTTACAAAAGGAGGGAAAATTGTGCCAGTTGAAGGAAGAAAGCAAAATAACAGCTGCAGTTTGAACCTCAAACCAGCAATCTGGACATCTAACAGGCTAAGGTTCTGACAAGGCTGCCCTCTGGGAGGGTAGTTGTTGGATAGTAAAAACACTAACTATATGAAGATAATGTATGGGTATGTGTATTTTACCCAAATTTCTCTTTTCTTTTTCAGTTTGTCCCAAATGTTCAGCAGATGCTCCACAGAACAAATCAAACAGGTCAAAGATCCTCCTGCTGAGTATCATTGCTTTACTGACAGCTGCTGCCATCGCACTTGGACTGAGTGAGTGAAAAAAAAATCTATTTTAGTTTTGAATGTTTGATTTGAAGAATAAAAAAACATTTGAATTTAACCATACATTTTTTTCTTCACTTTTGTATAACCCTGGATTAAATAGAACCCAAACTAACGGTTTATTTCTTCTTCTTTTTTGTTACCAGCTGTTGTTATTTTGATCATCAACCCCCCCTGCTATTCTGGAAAAGAGAAGAATGAAATTACACCAGGTCTGATTAACAGCAGTCAGATCAACTTTATTTTGGATTAAATCTGAATCCCTATTAATTTTGCTCCGTCACATTTGGATTATAATCTGTGCATTTGTAATCCAGCTTCAAGTTATGCATTTTTAATCTTTGGAACAGGAAAAAATCAAAGCAGCACATGTCCTCCACCTAAAGTAAAAAGTAAGTCCATTTTTTATGTATCATTTCTCTCCTCTGATGATGTTATAGAGACATTGATGGACTGACAGATACAGAAAGTTAGATTGTAGCTGCAGGACAGAAGACGCCTCCTGCTGCCCACAAATCTCACAAACATCTACAGAGATTTCTTCCTCCTGACTCAGTGAGATTGTTGTTCTGATCTGTTTAAAGATGAAATGTGTCTGAAGTGTGAAGCAGGCTGGGAGCTACATGGAGTGAACTGTTATTATTTCTCCAACAATACGTCCACCTGGACTGAGAGCAGAGATTCCTGCAGACGTCTGGGAGGAGACCTGGTGAAGATCGACAGCAGAGAGGAGCAGGTATGAATCACTGCTTCAGCTTCATGCTCTTACAGATTTTATCATCATCATGGTTCTTCATTTTTGCACAGAAAGGTATCTCAGGTTTCTCCATCTTCCATCCAGATGTTCCTGGAGAGGAAACTGAAAGAGAAAATAACAAATAATGAAGTTTCGTTCTGGATCGGACTGACGGACTCAGAGAAAGAAGGCAGCTGGGTTTGGGTGGACGGATCTCCACTGAAGGAAAGGTCTGATTGTTCTCAGAACATTTGGATCATTTTAAAGGTTTAGGTCACTCAGGTTTACTGAACTCTGTCTTTCTGTTCTTCATCTCTTAGTTTGAGTTTTTGGGGAAACAATGAGCCTGATGGTAAGGGTGGAGGAACAACAGCAGAGGCGGACTGTGTGAGAATATTGAATAGAGGAAACTCTATCAAGTGGTTTGATAGATGTTGTAAAGAGAGTCTGAGAAGGATTTGTGAGAAAACAGCAGAAACTCAGATGTGTTTGTGTTTGTGAAGTTTCATTCAGAAAACAGCCTCTGATCTCTGAACAGAAACACATTTTCTCAAAATGATTTAAAATAATTTGAGTTCTTTAATGGAAATATGAAAAATACAATAATTTGTTCCAACAGCAGATCTCCTGTAAAAATGTAATAATCAATAAACTTTTTTTTTCCTGACTGATTTTCCTCTTTTCAGTAATTATTATCTTTTCATTAATTATTATAACTAAATGATAAATAAATAATAAGGGTTTAAGTTACAAGAGAAAGATTAAATTGTTTTTGTTAAAAGATATCTGTCTAAATTAATATTTAATCAATATAATTAGCTACCGATTTTTAAGTAAAATATGAAGCATTAACATCATAGAATAATAGCAGTTAAATAAATAGATGAAGGACTTATTTCATTTAACCATGTACTACCCTTGCATTGGGTGTAAAACAAAAATTCAGTAAACTAAAAGATGATGTCAGTTGAAAAATATAATTTATTTCACAATTTGCAGGGGTCCGAAAAATAGCAATACAATACAACAGATAGCAATGAACACCCAATGAAAAAACAAAATAAACTCAAGACGCTCATGTTGCTGCTCAGCTGGTCCTTCAGGTCTCTGAATAGGGTGTGTAACATTGGTTGGGCTGAAAATGGTATATTTGCTGTTCCCTGAGCCCTAATGCAGCCTGCTTTAAAGCCCTAGAATGAAACAATGGGTTTTTCTTCCTTTTATGGTATGATCATCAATATTTAGATGAGCTGTGCGCTGATTGGTTGGTTTACAACGAGCGAAGCTTCTGAGCAAAGATGCATCATAGCAACAAGCACTCACTCACTGAAACATCAGATTGTTGATATGGTAGGGTGACCAGACGTTCTGTTTATCCTGGACATGTCCTACTTTTCATACCTAAAAAAAAAAGTCCTGGGGGAATTTCAAAATTGTCTGAGATTTTGGTCGACTACAGTGCACCACGTAGTCAAAACACACCGGGCATTCGGACCGAGCCGTCAGCTCCGGGGCTGGTCTAAGAACCCCAGCGGACGAGGGCAGGGAGCCAGCGGAGAACAGAGTGACCGAACCTGACCCGGTGACGGTAGCCTGGACCCCGTGCCCCATGCTTCCCCCCGCCGTTTTTATCGGCCCCCAGCCCTCTGGACGCTGAGGTCCGGTCCAGTCAGCGACCCAGCAGTCGACTCTTCAGAAGACTGTGAAAATTTCCCCTCCTCCATGCAGCCTGGAACACTGCATTTACACTCGTGGTTCTGGCTCATTTTCAATAGAGAAACTGTCTGCTTTGTAATTCTAGTAGAAGTAAACCCAACTGTAGGCTAAACAGCTAAACTGGTGTCTTCCATCTACCTCTATTCATGTTCTTGGGCCATGAACCAGTGGGCTGGTCTGTATGTACAGTTCGGGGCGTGACAAAAGTACAGGCCAGAACCAAATAAGGCAACATCTCCAAGTTTACCTCAAGTTGAGGCTTCGTTTGGTTTTGCCCGTTTTATGGTGGAAGGTTAGAATTGTGACATTTGTAGAAAAAGGAGGTGTTGATGGGGTTTGAACTTCTCTGAACGCCCATTTCACCCACTGAACTATCGTTCTTCATCTATGACAATGGAGATTATTTTGCATTCTATGACCCCTTTAAGTCTAAGGCCCGGCTTCCCTTTAACTTTCACCCACCTCCCCCCCATCTCCTCCTTCACTCTCAGGCTTTTCTCAGTCCCGACTCATCCTATGGTTTATTTCACTGCCATTGTTGACACCCCAGAGGGAAAACGACTACAAACTTCTGCCCAAGTTATTCATCCAAGCTCATGCTAACTCACAGCATCATGTCTTCTGCCAGGGTTAAAATGCCAAACAACTCATTTCATTCATGTTAATAAAAATCTTTGTAATTGATTCTGTTATCCTTGTGAGTCTCTTTGGGTTGAATTAGTTAATTATATGTTCTGCTTTTTCATGACAGGTCTGAAAACCCATCCGTACAAGAAAACTCTGGTCAAGCTAAAAAAGTGGGTTTCAGGTTGCATGAAGCTTTACCTTGGTGCTGGTTGTTCAGTTGGAACGGAAGAGACTAAAGAGCGAAACTGTTGGGATCTGGAGCTGTACCACCTTCCTCCAGCAGAGTGCGCCGTGGGTCTCCTGGAGCTGGAGCCTTCCAGCACACCTGAGACGCATCTACTCATCAGGAGACCTCCCTTTTATAATCAGCTGCCAGACCTTGCTTCGACGCCGCAGTGTTGACCTTAGTTTGGTTAGCAACCTGAGCCTTTGAAAACTGAAAGGATCTTAGTTGTCTCTTAAGAGAGATCAGATTCTAACTCTCCTCTGTTTTTGCTTCACAGGAAACCTGTCTCTAGCCTGAGCTCTGGATGAGCTTAACCTGCCAATCTGCCCTGGTGAGCCTAACCTGAAGATTCCTATGTGGATTCCCCTGCTGCTCTTAGTGAAGAGCTGGAAAACTCTGATCAAGGTCTGCCATTCAAAGTCAGAAGCTAGACGCTGCAGCTGCTTGTGTACTCTGCTGTACCAACAGTCTCTGGACCCAACGGTTCCCTCTCAAAGAGAAGCCCAGATTCAGTCAAGGTATAATTCTGAAATTATCAAAGACTCATAACTCATCTGCCTGCCTTCTAATCAAACTATCATCTCTGCAGACTTCAGTGAACCAGCCCGGACCAGTTCCAGACCCAGTACATTATCTTGTGTTTGTGAAACATTCAATAAACTCTGTTAAACTTTTACCCAGCCTCCGTTGTGTTCTGCATGTGGGCTAAGAACCTTAAACCCATCATGACAGAACACTGCGGCCAAACACAAAGCCCAGCAGATCACCTCCGTAGGAGGTTTGAGGAACAGGACGCTCAGATCCTTGGACATGCGCATACCCTCCGTGAGTTGCATACTAAGATTGAACATCAGAATGAAATGCTACAAACATATGCCAGCTACATGGGTAATGCTAACGCCACGCCAGCGGTACGTCCAGTTCCGGATCCACCTCCGCCTCCAAGGTCACCGGCGGTGACGTCACTTCCTGAGTTCCGTCCCAGTCCGCCTGAAAGATTCTCAGGTAACCAAAAAGATTGTAAGGGATTTTTGTTCCAATCTCGATTACTTTTTGAACATTCTCCTGGCAGTTTTCCGAATGATAGAATGACAATATCATTCATTCTTTCTCAACTCACTGGACGAGCCCTTGAATGGGCGGAGGCAAGGTTCTCCTCTGAATCCAGTTTCACTTGTACTTTTTCCGAGTTCATATCAGAGTTTTCCCAAGTATTTAACCACGACTCAGATAAAACTATTGACTCCCGAGCCCTGCTGAATTTAAGACAGGGAAATTCCACAGTGGCTGAGTTCTCCATCGACTTCCGGGTCAAAGCCGCAGCCTCTGGTTGGAACGAATGTGCACTTAAAAGTGCTTATTTTAAGGCCTTAAATGATAACATCAAGGATGAACTAGCCACGATCGACGAACCAACTAGTTTGGAGAATTTAATCCGTTTAACCATCAGGTTGGATAACAGACTCCGAACCAGAAACAGCACTAGACAAAGAAGTCTGCATTAAATAATGCTTCTGTTTTTTCTGGATCCGCAGAACCCAGTTCCAAGCCAAGGTCTAAAAACCAGACTCTTTCTATGCCTGTCCAAGTCTCTCACTCAGATGGAGCGGAGGTCGAACCCATGCAGATTGGACACACAAGGCTAACCCCTGAGGAAAGACAACGACGAATCAGGGGCAATCTGTGTCTATACTGTGGTGAGACTGGCCATTTCATAGCTTCATGCCCGGCTAAGTCAAAAGCCAGGCCCGTCAGAGGAATTGAGGAGTCTGACGGGCCATTTGAAAACTGAAAAGGCTTCTCATCTGATGTTACCTGCTACACTTTTTTTCTCTAACCAGAACCTCACCTTGTCTGCTTTCATTGACTCTGGATGTGAGAGTAATCTCATTGATTCTAACCTGGTCCAACAATTACAGATTGAAACCGTTCCTTTATCCAAGCCTCTCAGAGTATCCGCTATTGATGGAAAGAAGCTCCATCAAGTCACTCATCAAACACAACCTCTAGAACTTTTGATCTCTGGAAATCATCGTGAGACATTAAACTTTTTTGTTTTTCCTTCTGCATGCTCCCCCTTGGTGCTGGGATTCGAGTGGCTGGAACGACATAACCCCCATATCAACTGGGCTGAACGCCACATTGAGTCTTGGTCCACTTCCTGTCACGAGACATGTCTTCGTTCTGCAGCTCCTGCTGTTCAGTCCCCTAGAGGTAGGGGGGAGATGGACTCTCCTGACCTTACTTCTGTTCCTCCCGAGTATCATGATCTGGCACCAGTCTTCAGTAAGGTCAGTGCGACGTCTCTTCCACCTCACAGACCATATGACTGCGCCATTGAATTATTACCAGGAGCTCCCCTGCCCAGCAGTAGACTTTATAACATCTCTAAGCCTGAACGTGAGACCATGGAGAAATATATTAATGAGTC